TTGAAACTGTCAAAAAAAATTATTTGTTTGATTTTACTCATTTGTAATAAAATATTCATAAAACTGTAATTTTATATAAATTTAATTTATTTGGCATATTTATTCAAATTTAAGTCCTTTTGAATAATATATAATATTTTTAAAAATTACAGTTCGAACAAAAGCTTAACTTATGCCAAAATAAGTATGAATTGCATACAAAACACAAAATTTTTGGTAACTTTCTAATTAAATTCTTTGTGAAAAATTATGTTTAAGAATAACATGAATGTGTTGTATATCATATAAAGCCCTAATTATACAGGATTATTTTAGTGTATATTTTACACAAACTACACGGTATTAATATAAATTAAAATCAAAGGGGTATCGCTAATAAAAGGCTACCCTGTATATACCCCACACAGTCTGCTTATGTAGTTGGTGACAATGCTTTGTTATAATAATAATACTTTTAATAAATGATTGATTATAATAATCTTATTACAATTATCGCTTGGTACACAATATATCAAAAGTGGTCTGATATAAATTGTCCTTAACATTATTATACATTGTCCTTATTATACAGGGTAGCCTTTTATTAGCGATACCACTTTGATTTTAATTTATATTAATATAAAAAATAAAACCCTAATTATTCAAGATTAATTTAGTATATATTTTACACAAATAAACTACAGTGTATTGATATAAATTAAAATCAAAATGGTATCGCTAATAAAAGGCTACCCTGTATTTGTTGCACTATATTTAATAAATTTGATACATAATCAATATATTCTATTAAATTATTGACATGTCAAAATCGATATGAATTTATGATTAACTTATACAAACACTTATGCTTAAATGTCCCTGGATTAATGACATTTATTACTTATGTATTGTGTACTTATGTACTTATGTATTGGACAGATAATATTTACGTATAAATTCTAAAATCATTTTAGTTCTATAGTAATTAAAAGCAACTTTTTAAATTACAATTATAAATGAGCAAAAAAATATAATTTTACTCTATAACAAATATTGAGACTTATATTATAAATATAAGTTTAAATTTTATTCTTGAAAATTATTACACTAACCGTTACTGTATGTTCCAGTATTTTATTTCTAATTAAATTGGTCAAGTTAATTAATTTATATTGTATATTTATCATTGTCCTTAACATTATTATACATTGTCCTTATTATACAGGGTAGCCTTTTATTAGCGAGACCACTTTGATTTTAATTTATATTAATATAAAATATAAAACCCTAATTATTCAGGATTAATTTAGTGTATATTTTACACAAATAAACTACAGTGTATTGATATAAATTAAAGTCAAAGTGGTATCGCTAATAAAAGGCTACCCTGTATTTGTTGCACTATATTTAATAAATTTGATACATAATCAATATAATCTATTAAATTATTGACATGTCAAAATCGATATGAATTTATGATTAACTTATACAAACACTTATGCTTAAATGTCCCTGAATTAAAACCTGATAATATTTACGTATAAATTCTAAAATAATTTTAGTTCTATAGTAATTAAAAGCAACTTTTTAAATTACAATTATAAATGAGCAAAAAAATATAATTTTACTCTATAACAAATATTGAGACTTATATTATAAATATAAGTTTAAATTTTATTCTTGAAAATTATTACACTAACCGTTACTGTATGTTCCAGTATTTTATTTCTAATTAAATTGGTCAAGTTAATTAATTTATATTGTATATTTAATCAAAAATTATAATTATATATTAATAGCAAAACAATGATCAAGATGATTTACAAAGGATTCGTATTATTAATCATAAGCTCGACTGCATTCACGGCCAGAAATGACGTCCACGTAATTGACAGCAATATTAGGCCCGAAATGGAGGCCCACGTGATCAGCAAAATGATGGACTTTGTCGACAAACCCACTAATCAATCTTTGGCTGAACGAATGGTCAAGGAATTGGACACAAAGTACCCTGGTGTAATTGGTCAGATTGGGTGGATCGGACAGTTTATGGTGAACGCAACCGCATCCCAGCTATATATGTCACTAGAGGTTGAGTCTTATATTAAGCTCCAATATCGTCAATATGTGCTGGGATTATATAGGCCAATACCAGTGACACTTAAGCAAGTAAGTAATTAGCAATATAAAATACACATATAATAATTATTGAATTCTTGCTAATAATTAGATTTATTAAATTATTTAATAATGATATAAATAATTAAATAATACTTGAATATNAATACACATATAATAATTATTGAATTCTTGCTAATAATTAGATTTATTAAATTATTTAATAATGATATAAATAATTAAATAATACTTGAATATAATATATCAGCAACTTAAATAGCTAATTTATGTTAGTATTAACATAAACTTATTAACATACTGTATTTATGCTTATTATTAATATATCTGTTATTTTTAATTATTCATTTCAATGATGGAATTTAATATCTCGATAACTTTAGTAATTTGCACGTTTTAGCACGTGAGTAATCTATTAGCATAGGTTTCATAATGAATTAACTGATTGATTAAGTAACACACCAGGATAAATATTAGTCGTGGAGACCAGTGGTTACTATTTAAACGAAAGATTTATCCGTTAGTAACGTTAGTAATTTTAGAAACGCGTTGTCATTATTAGACATAAATTGTGTGTTTAGTCCGCAAAACAAACATTTCATTCATTACTACAACTATTTCACTGGTTTTGTGTAACTCATACACAAAGTCATATTAAAGTA